GTGCGCAATTCTTTTTTCTACTCTATTCTACTCTATTTTAAAAAGTTTAAGTAATTAAAAATGGATTAACAATAATGTCAATATCCCGAGTGGCCATCCCACGTAGTTAGACAACACAATGATGGGGTGCAAAGAGTTTAAGTGTAACAGGTGGCTGTGAATAACGGTCAGTGTAGTGTTTATGTTCACAGGTTCACTGGTTTACATAAGGCTTCATTACATCTTATGTATGCCCCAGTAGCTAATATCAAAGTAAGTTACATTATGCTTTTCTATGGTTTCCTGGTTTACGCAATGCTAATCGTTTTATAACTTTTCAGTATGACATTTGTAGATTTCAAAGGACGATTAAAGCGCGCCGGATTATTTTAAAATATTTTAGTCAACACCAGTGTTGAGGGGTGAGAGTTCATGTACTGTGAATAACAACTGATTATTCTCCAACATACATAGAAAAGCAGAATCTTTTCTAAAGTGTCACATGTTTAAAGAAGTATAGCACAGCAAACATCATCACAGCACAGTATAGCACAGCACTAAGATACATACAAAAGAAGCATATCCCGTTTTCAGTGTTCAGCTCAGGGGCGGAATTGAAATATTCGATGAAGGAAGTAGTGTTTTTTAACTTTATACAGAGTGTAGAGGAAGTATTGTAATCGTGCACACAAATCGCATGACATTTTTACAGTTTTCACCGTTTTACTTCTCCATACTACATCAGGACTTATTTCAATCGGTCAAAAATCCAGATGTATCAAAATTTGGCCGTTTTCCGCGTAACAGAGTCGGAAAAATTGGACTTTGCAATTCTGTTGGTGTGTGTGTGTGTGTATTTATATCTGTGAACACGATAACTTGAGTACCGTTTCATATATAAGTATTATATCAAATTAGTAGTTCTGTATATACTTTTCAGCAATTTCTTTCTGGATCTGTTTCTGTGGCCTTTCTCCACACAAGAACAGTCTGGAAGAAAGTATTTGATGGTGGAGTTCGGAGAATCTTCTCAAGTAAACCGAAGTAAATTCCCATACACATACATATATACTAAGGCACCTAATTCCCAATTACAATTAATAATAGTCATAGGGCCATAGAGCCATAAAGCCATTGAGCCATTGAACCATAGAGCCATGAAGCCATAGAGAGCCATACAGCCATACAGCCATAGAGAGCTATACAGCCATACATCCATGATTCATTCTATAAAGAATATATACATTAAAATATGGTTTTCCTAGAATAAAGATGCGTTATTTTAATCGTTTAAAAGCTGTAAGATACTTTGCTAATTTAAAAAAAAAGAAACGTTTCATGAAATCGGTCGCCTTAAGGAACATATTTGACAAAAGAGCAGGACATTACCCCCCCCCCCCCCCCACCCGTGAGGTGCCCCAAGACATACCCCCTCGACTTTAACCTCGGAGAAATTACCCTCTTGTCAATTACCCCCCCCCCCCCCCAATCCCGCTTACTAGTAAAATAATCCCGGTAATTTAAAATAGAGGCAATACGGATAGCTTAAGCATACGTTAGGGCTGGGCTAGAGTTAGGGCTATGTTTAGGGTTAGGGTTAGAATTAGATATAGTTTTAGAGTTAGGGTTAGCAAAGGGGTTGAAGTAAGGGTCAGGGTTCTTGACCGTGAGCGAGGAGCTAATATTCCCAATGAGCAATTGACAAGGGGGAAATTGTCAAGGGGGCATTTGTCCAGGTAATGGCTCCGGGGGATAATGTCGGTGGGGAATATCCGTTGAGGGGGGTTATTGATGGGAGAGTTAAGTCCTGGGCTAATGTCACATAGCTTTGTGCTGACATACGGTGTACATTTAAAAGTATCCAATAGTGCATGTTTGTGTAAAGCCATGAAGAAAACAGAAATCGATTCCATTCATGCGTGTCTAATATAGTGGATGCCCTTACTTTACATACATCAACGTCATATAACTAACACACATCAATGTCATATTATAACCAGCAGACAGCAATGTCATAATATACCTTACATACAACAACATCATATAACTTACACTCATCAATATCATACAACAAACACAGCAATGGCATATATTTAAATGTACAATTAAATCATATAACTAGCAAGCAACACCATCATATAAGTTAGTTCAAATTAATTAAACAACGATGTTTCTAAGATAAGAAAAATTGTAAACCTTAGAAGCATCCAATCCAAGTTTTGAATACATCATTTTTCTGATGCGGGGGGGGGGGGGGTGTAAGGTGGGGTTACCTTTACAACCTGTAAGTATGGGGCTGAGATCACAGACTATGTGGGTGACATGGAAGTTTTAAACCCACGTTTGTTTGTTAGGGTCTGAGGTTTTTGTTAGATATTTTTTATTGCACTTTTTTTTCATTTTAAGTGTATTGACCAGTGGTCAAATCACATACATCAGGGCTATTTAAATAATACACATATGCATGTTTATACAAGAAGGCTAACATAACAACAACGTTTTTATCAACTGGCTTCTTCTCTATGTGATGTTAACTACTGATGTGTTATTTACGTAAACAAGTTGTTATCAGTGTGACAATGACTCGGTTTGACTCAAGTTCTTCGACGATCTTTGAACTATCAGTACTAAAGTCTGACCAGTAACATTTCACAATTCGTGTGTTGTTCATACAGGCTAACGGCCTTTGCCCTACTACTAACTAAAGTCTGACCACTAACATTTCACAATTCGTGTGTTGTTCATACAGGCTAACGGCCTTTGCCCTACTACTAACTAAAGTCTTACCAGTAACATTTCACAATTTCTTGTGCTGTATTCACCCTATTAGTAACTAAAGCTTGACCAGTGCATACCTTGGTAGCACATCCATGATCCCTATCATAACACTTGCTTTGTCACGACCCCTATTACCCCTGCTGTTTGCCCGGTACCCCCACAGATAAGTGACCCCAAGGTTAACACCACCCTATAAAACACGTACCAGACTTAACCTACTTTGTCAATTTTAATTTGACGTCCTTATCAAAAACAGTTTTGGGCTTCAGAAAGAAAATAATTTGTATCTTTAAAAAATCGATTCTATAGAGAGTTGAAGTAAGTTTATGGCTCTTACTTTTTAATTATTTGTAGAGATAATGTATGCGTTTTAAATGTAAATTATTTTGCATTAGTAATGTTACATTACTTAAACAGCCACAAGACATAACGTAACAAGTAGGACCTTAAGGCAAAATTATGTTCAATAATATTTTGGTGTCTTAAGTTTAGTTGTTCTTAAAACTGTTGTCCATCTCAGCCGGGATTGTATTTTAATAATCTTTTAGTTTAGTTGTTCTTAAAACTGTTTATGAGCTACATTAAACCAAGCGTAGTGCTTGCCTTTTTCTTACAATCATCATTAACACATTGAATGCAACTTACAATAATGTAGCGCAATCTTAATTAGCTAAATGAATTATCGCACTGTAGTTGTATTTAGTACAATACTGCCTTATCTTGTTACAGATGTTTTATACTGTTTTGTTACAGATGTTTTATACTGTTTTGTTACAGATGTTTTATACTGTAGTTGTCCTCTCTATTATTCTGGGTCACGTGACTGAGACATGCTCGTTGCCTGTCAATAATGGTATACTTATTTCTAAGTCTCATATAATATTTTTTTTTGTATTAACTATATTAACTAGCCTAAGTAACGCTTTAAGAAGAATTGTTCTTATTCAGCACCAAAAGAAAAGCAGGCTGAAATCGGAGTCAACTGCCTATATGGCGCATAATAATAGACACGTATACTTAATTGTGTTGGAGGAAATCTCTTCCGGGAATCTCTCCCAACTCTAAAAATTAAGAACACAGAAGAAGCACCACCAGCTGTTTACTCGGATTAATTGTGGAATTCATTTCACTGTCCCCACCATGTCGGTAGACATCTAGCTATCCCATTCCATCAGCACCTAACATGCTCAAAACATATGGCAACACAAAAGGCTTAATTACAAACATTTCAGCTCATACAGAGTAGTCAATTAATTATTTAATTAAATCATTTAGTATTTTAGACGTACTTGTTAGAGTCACATAACCAATGAAGGGGGAGGGGGGATTTATCTTTTACTTAGGCTAAATACGGTATCAAATGTTACACTAGTACTCACCATTTACTAACAGAATACCTGGATGCTGGGAACTTGACCTATCATGAGACTCTGGACGAGAACTATCAGCTCTACTGGAACTTTAATAGTTCTCACATCATCTTCAAGACTGTCGTCAAGACTAACGGTAAATTTATTGGTGAAAGGTGGGACTAATATACGGGACAGGTTAAAATATCAGGCAACTTTTATTGTTAATTTTTGCCTACAATGTTATAAAGTCAATAAAGAGCACGAATCTGTGCATAGCTTGGGTTAAAGAAGAAATTTCTTTTTGTTGACCCTTAAAACAAAATTCAGAATGATCAATAAAATTGCATTGAAATATATGTTGCTTCATTAAAACAAAGCTACCTTTAATAAAGTAACTTAATTGGCACAGTGTTGTATTTTTTTCCCTGCAGGATTTATCGGATTTGGTATATCTCCAAACGGTGGGATGTCTAACGCAGACGTGGTCATAGGATGGGTCAAGGACGGAGTTCCACATTTCGCGGTAACTTATCGTTTATTCAGTTTGTAATAATTAACATGTATAATATGAATAATGTGTTTACCTTGTAAAAATCGTGCGGTAATAATAGGTGTATACATGTTAGACCTTGACCTTGAAAGTTGTGTGTTCACAGGACCGCCACGCCCAGGGTCACGTGATGCCAGCTGTAGACACCCAGCAGGACTGGCACCTGGTTGAGGCTGTGGAGGTGGGAGAGACCACGAGCCTGGTCTTCATACGGGAGCTTAACACGTGCGACCCTCAGGATCTTCCTATCACGGTAAGTACAGGTGTGACAACGTGATCTACCTGTAAGTACAGGATCTACCTGTCAAGGTAAGTACAGGTGTGACAACGTGATGTACCTGTCACGGTAAGTACAGGATCTATCTGTCACGGTAAGTTTAGGTGTGACAACGTGATCTACCCGTCCAGCAAGTACAGGTGTGACAACGTGATCTATCTGTCACGGTAAGTACAGGATCTATCTGTCACGGTAAGTTTAGGTGTGACAACGTGATCTACCTGTCACGGTAAGTAAAGGATCTATCTGTCACGGTAAGTTTAGGTGTGACAACGTTATCTACCTGTCACGGTAAGTAAAGGATCTATCTGTCAAGGTAAGTACAGGATCTATCTGTCACGGTAAGTGTAGGTGTGACAACGTGATCTACCTGTCACGGTAAGTATAGGTGTGGCAACGTGATCTACCTGTCACCGTAAGTACAGGTATGAAAACGTGATCTGCCTTGTGACGGTAAGTTCACGTATGACTACGAGATTTGCTTTGTCACGGAAAATACATGAGTGGCATCATAATATATTTGCCTTGGACAATGCAGGCATTTTGTTCTCGATTGCAATGTGCTGGTTGTTATTACCTCAGTGGTGCCAAGTTAAGGTTTTATTATTTTTACCTCCACACCTTCCCTTAAAAATATTGACCTGTCACCATATTTCACCCTCACACCTTACCTGTCACCATATTTGACCTCCACACCTGACCTGTCACCATATTCGCCCCCCCCCCCCCACCTTACCTATCACTATTAATTTTTTTGTTAGTTAACTTGATCTTCCACCTAGTTTGTTAAACACATTTTAATGGGTTTTGAAATTTAATATAATTCCAAGGCCTCTATCGACACACTCGTATTATCAACATATTTAGAAATTGATAATTTTGACTACTGATAAGGTAAAGCGGGACATTTATTTGTCAATTAGCAATCTAAGCGGGATTCACATTGTTGACCTTTTTTTTTAAATTTGTTGGTTATCTCCCTGTCCTTACACATGGGTTATCTAACCTTCTTTGTTAATTTTATTATTTTAAAAATGAAAATCTCGATCAAAAAATTACGATAGTGCTACAATCATCCAAGTCACTCTAACAAACTAAATTTAATTAACATAGGCTTTACATTATAAGAGCTTACTCTCAATTGCTTGTGTAAAAGTGTTTTTCAGATTTAGATCTAATTATCAGACCAACAATTGCCTTATTGTACAGGAGAGTTAAGAACAAATATAAGATAACAACTGCTTGGAACTATGATTTAAAAAATTGTTTCTTAAAATTCATAGAATGATTGTATTTAAAAAAAATCATTTCTCCAACTCATAAATGTCATTTGGAGGAAACACAAATGTGTTGTTGACACGCTGTTAAAATGTGACCGTTGCAGAACAGCACCACTCGAATCATCTTCAGCTACCACCCCAGCGACCCAGCAGGCGACGACAGCATCCAGTACCACGGCTCCCACCGACGTGGCACCAAGTCAGTTCTGCTCCTGACTCCCCCAGCCAGCGTCAAAGACAGGGACCCTCTGCCCGATGACGTCATCAGCTTTGAGTTTCTTAACCACAATGTAAGCGGTGTGTTCAGGTCGGTCAGTAGATCTAGCCGGGTACCACGATGGTGGGACGATGTCCTGCATCGGGTGATGGGGAAGGCAAGTCTGGTGAGAAACCACGGAGGGAAGCGACCTAAGTGCACCGTTCAACCCGACATCTTCGAGCTGCCCACAGCTCGCACTAACTGCCAGTTAGTCGGAGTACGGTGCGTGGAGGCCGGCCTGGCTAATGGCAGCACCACTCCTGAGCCGGTGATCCGTGTTATTTGAGTAGGTGAAGTAGAGTTTGCGTGACCTCGGCGTGTGAAACAATAGTGTCGCCAGATGTATGCCCAGCCTCTTTTACTTTCCCTTACGTGAGTCTTCAGAACTGTCCGGACTCTGTGACGTCATGCGGGCTCGGAATCAGGGCTGAAATTTTTAGACGTGTGACCTTTATGTGGTCACATAAGGCCGGCAGTAACCGGCTTCTAGTGTAAATTTACTGAGTGTGTGGGTGGTATAAGACCGGCACTAACCGGCTCCTGGTGTAAATTTACTGAATGTGTGGGTGGTATAAGGCCGGCACTAACCGGCTTCTAGTGTAAATTTACTGAGTGCGTGGGTGGTATAAGGCCGGCACTAACCGGCTCCTGCTGTACATTTACTAAGTGTGTGGTTGGCACACGTATGAGGGTGGGGGAGGGGGGCTCTCGATGACTGACAGCTGATGTGTGACTACAATTTTGTCACCTCCAGGTATCGGTACCTGCCAGAGACACCTACTACCACTGTGTGGCGTGGAAGCTGCCTAAACTCACAGAGAAACATCACCTGATCAGGGTACGTCTAAACCTTTTGGTCATTTTAAACTGTCGTTACACATTAGTTTCGTCTATTCTAATGTCTATCCTTATATTGTCAGCATGCTCACTCCTCCTTCCGGATATGAGGAATAAAATCCCATAATCCACTTTTTATATTTTGAACTGTCTGTTTAAATGAGAGGGGGAGGGGGAGTAAACTTAGAATTTGTAATATATTTTAAAGACAAACTTTCGTATATTTATGGCCGAATATTTTGTTATACAAGTTAAGCTCCTGGGCTAAGCGTTAAATTATGTCGAAGAATTCTGCGACTTACTCCCGTCATTTTGGTGAATTATAAAGGCGTAGCATTATTCCTTGCCTTCATGTAGGCTATATATAACGTCTTTGAATAAAAGGAAATGTCAAACTTTATATCTCGTTCTTGGATAAAAGAAAATGTTAAGCTTTATAATTACATTATATCTTTGGAGACCGGGTAAGATTAAACTATATATAACGTATTTAAATAAAAGGAAATGTTAAGCTATATATTACGACTTTGGATAAAAGGAAATGTTAAACGCTTCTAGTTTTGAATAGTTGTATAAATGTATTAAAATATAGTTAATACTACAGCAACAAAGTATTTCTTTTACTTGGAACTTAAATTAGCTGCGTCCGCTAGTTCAAATTACTTTTAATGTGACATCTGAACTCACCAGGATTTAAAATACCTTAAGGTGTGAAATCTGAACTCATTACGAATATAAAATACTTTAAGGGTGACACCTAAAATAAACCCACCAGGAATTAAAATGCCTTACGGGTGACACCAAAAATAAACTCACCGGGAATTAAAATACCTTAAGGGTGACACCTAAAATAAAATTCACCAGATTTAAATTTGTGTTTTCTAGTACGAGCCGGTGATCCAGCAGGGCCACGAGAAGCTGCTCCATCACATGATCCTCTACTACTGCTCCTCCGGCTTCGATGACACGCACGTCGGCTCGTCCTACGACTGCTACCAACAGCCCCCGCCCGCATTCACTTCCTGTGAGCACATCTTCATGGCTTGGGCAATCGGCGGCAAGGTACAGTCTCACTACTAAAGTTATTTGTTTCGCTATATTTCCGGATGTCTCACTACCAAAATTATTTTTTCGCTATATTTCCGGATGTCTCACTACCAAAAATATTTTTTCGCTATATTTCCGGAGGTCTCACTTCCGAAGTTATTAGTTTCGCTATATTTCTGGATGTCTCACTACCAACGTTATTTGTTTCGCTATGTTTCCAGATGTTTCACTACCAAAGTTATTAGTTTCGCTATATTTCCGGGTGTCTCACTACCAAACTTATTTGTTTCGCTATATTTCCGGATGTCTCACAACCAAAATTATTTGTTTTGCTGTATTTCCGGATACTTCACCAAGAAATTATCCGTTTCGTTATATTTTCGCATGTCTTACTACCAATAGTATTTTTTCGCTATATTTGCGGATGTCTCACTACCAAAATTATTTGATTCGCTATATTTCCTGTTGTCTCACTACCTAGTCTCACTCTGTGGAAGCTAGTTAAAGTCTCTCTATCTATTCTTTTGTTTCACTCTCGTTGTAACGTTTATCCTCTTAACAACGAATCAATACAGCGTGAATTTCTACTTTCGTTACTATCAAACACTCTGTTAAAACACGTTTAAAACATTACAAAAACATATCAACACTAAACCAGTGGTAAGAAAAGGAATTCGTTCAACCATTTGCAGGCGTTTGACTACCCTAACCATCTCGGACATTCCCTGGGAACTCCACAAGATCCTGGCTACTTCAGGATGGAAACCCACTACAACAATCCAGACTTAAGAGACGGTGATTACTATAAGCTTTTATTTAGTTCGCAACGTCGGTTTGTTTATGGGTTTGTAGTAAATCTTGCAATTCAATTTCGACCTACTTTTAATGCAGCGATTTCGTTCAAACTTACCAGATACTTCTCCACTTCGATGACAATACAAGTATATCTATTTTCTTTTAATTTAATTATTTTTTTAATTAGTCAATAAAAATTAATTTAACGGTGATAACAGGGGGTGATAACAAAGTTAAATCACTCAATATATTACTATATTCAATAATAGAAGGGGAGATAACTAGCTAGACGCTATCATCCGACCAGTCTGCCAAGCTGTGGTTCACGCCGAAATTTTTTATGAAAGAAGGCAAAATCATTTTTTTTTTAATTTAAGTGCATTTAAAATTGTGTAGCTTTAAATTTGTTTTTTTTATTTGTTTTTTTTTTAAAAATAGATCAGCGACGTCTTATGCAATTAAATCAACATAATAATTCATTAAAACATATTTTAAAAGTTATATACATATTATGGTAATTTAATAATCAAAATAAGCATTTACTTTAATATTTAACACATTAAGAGACAGTGCAACGTTATTAAAGTTTGTAATCATGTAACGTTGAATATAAATGAGTTTTGATTTAGTTACTCCCCATCTCATAAATGACTCTAAAGCAAACATGGTAAGTCAAAATTACGCTGTACATTGCAAGTTTAAGGCAAAATAAAAATACTTTTTAAAAGTAAATCAAAAGCTCGCTAACTGGCAAAATAGAATTCCAAGTAGAATTCTCGCGAAAACAAGAATATTTCATACATTTTATACATTTTATACATTTTATACAATTAAATCAACATATCCATTCACTAAAACGTAATTTAAAAGTTATATACACACGAATATTTACAATTTTAATATTCAATAATAAATTTAACAGTCATTACATCAATATTTAACATTTAAGACAGTTCAATGTTATAAATGTTTATAATTCTTTAAATGTTGAGTATTAATGTGTTTTAGTTACTTCCCATGTCAAAAATGACATTTTCCAAGGGAGGGCAACATAAACTTCAATCTAAAATATTAAAAGAGAGATTAAATTTAGTACTTATCAGATTATTTATGTATTTAAATGTTAACTATACATTAAATTTTAAACTACAAATGATCTTTAGTACATTTTTTTTTATAATTAATGAAAACTGAATATAAAATTTCACTGTAGTTCAAATATAGAAGAATTAATTTTATTTGCAATACAATGTATAAATTTCGAAAGCATATCTTAAATGTTACTGCGCATTGATCGGCAAAGGGTTTCAGCTATGTTGAACACACTTTATATTATATAAGAATTATATCTAATTTGCAATTTTCTAAAATGTTTTGAGCGATATTTCGTAAACGGAAGTAGTACCTAATCTACTTCCGATCTCTGAAAAAAACAATTGCCCAACCATTTAAGTTAGGGAGAAAATCATTTCACACAAAAGTATACGATTTTATGCGCAGGCTCCTATCAACTTTTGAATACTTTCTGGTATTCGGAAGTGGTACTTTATTTTTATGGGAATACGATAACTGGTTCAGTTTAGACGACATTTCTTATATAAGTAAAAAAAAAAGCACTTTCAATTTTTGAGTAACTTCCGATATTCGGAAGTGGCAGTTTATTTCTGGTTTCTAAAAATATTAAAATACCAAATAACGTGAGTAGCTAGACGAAAATTCCTTTTAAACGCCAGATTCTGTGTTTAAATGAAGGCAGTAACGTAGCTGTCCATTTTTTCAATGCCAGATTTTGTGGACAATTCCGGCTTCCGGTTTTTCCTAACCAAACACCTGAGACAGTTTGACGTGGGGATACTAGAGAGCGGCCTGGCCGTGGACTACACCCAGATCATCCCGCCCTACGCGGACAGCTTCATATCACGTGGCTACTGTCAGTCGGACTGTCTTGGGCAGGTATTCACAGTTCATGTGTTGTCATTAGTTTTACCTGGTTAGGTCAGGTACTCACATTTCACAATCAGTTAATGTTTCGTTTAGAGATGACATTGTTGAATTTTACATTAATATTTATTAACTGTTTTTGTTATTGACGTTTCAAATACTATTAGGATGAAAGTACTCAAATCATGTACTCATCTATGTGAAAGAAATTAAAAAGCTTTAGTTTACTAACAACTTTCGCTGGTGACTTGGGTTGAAAAATGTTTAAATGTAAACTTACAAATTTGATTAGGATAATAGACTTTTTGTAGTCTATGTACTATGTAATCCTTTTATAAGTTACTAAACATGGCTCTTATATTGTAAAACTTGACATACAGACATTTGATTGATTGTAAAACTTGACATACAGACATTTGATTGATTGTAAAACTTGACAAACAGACATTTGATAGATTGTAAAACTTGACATACAGACATTTGATTGATTGTAAAACTTGACGTACAGACATTTGATTGATTGTAAAACTTGACATATAGACATTTGATTGATTGTAAAACTTGACATACAGGTTCTGGCTGATGACGACATCCATGTCTTCGCTTCCGGTCTGCACGCCCACCTGCTGGGCAACAAGGTGCGTGCACGTCACTTCCGGAAGGGCGTGGAACTCCCTCCCCTGTCAGAAGACAACACCTATGACTTCAACTATCAGGAGATGAGACTTTTCCCGCAAGAAGTTACCCTGAAAAACGTAAGTTAGACACAATTTTGTTAGTTTAAAATTAGCCGTTAGGAATAATTTTGGTTTCAAGGTTTTAATTGTTGTCAGTGTTTCTTCCAGATTTTTTTCTCCGGGGTCACTTAAAATTTTCGGGGGGAAGGTGGTAAAATTTCCGGGGGGTGGGGGGGGGGGGGGGGGTCGGACACTGTTAAAAGTATGTATTTTCTATATAAATCTCATTTTGCTCGGGGGACGGTAGACTCTCTTCGCGGTAAGAATGCCTGGAAGGATCACTGCTTGTTGTTATGCCACATGCCATTTGTTTAAAGAATATCGTCACCAATGTTGCTAAAACAATGTGGTGTGCTAAGGTTGCCAGTTTAATATCCCCCCACCCTCTCGTAACTCACTATGTATGCAGCATAAATCAGAAATATTATACAGACCTTAATTAATTTTGACAAGTAGGTCACTATTTATTTAACAGGAATCAGAAGATATATGGATAATATGGACATATATTAATTTAGACATGTAGGTCACAAGTTGTATAGCGGAAATCAGAAGATATTATATAAAGCTTACTCAATTAAGACAGGTAGTTCGCAACTTAAGTAACAGAAATCAGAATATATTATTTAAAGCTTACTCAATTAAGACAGGTAGTTCGTTACTTTGTGTAACAGAAATCAGAAGATGTTGTATAACCTTTACTTAGTTTAGATGTCGTTCATTTCTCAGGGAGATCATCTGATCGTGGAGTGTGACTACGATTCAAGAAGCAGACAAGCTCTGACGACGGTAGGTTCCCCAGTTGTTCTTGTGTGACGACACTTCCGGTCTGAAATCAAAACCCCTGTAATAACTGCCCCACTTGTGGGCGGACCTAACCTGGTCACCAATCAATCGACCTGTCAATCAAGTCCTACTGACCAACCCACTAACACCTCTAAAGCTACGTGGTTAGAACCAGTGATTCTTTCAGTGTTTTTTTTTCTCTGAGGGGGGGGGGGGGGGTGGGCACTTGATATTTTCCCCCGGGGGGAGGGGAGGCACAATATTTTCCTGTGGGGGTGGGGAAGACTGGTAAAAAATATATATTTTCTAAATAAATACCATTTCGTTCAGTGGGGGAGGGGAGGGGGGGAGTGTTAGACTTTCTTCGAAAAGATGCCTGGAAGAAACTAGTTAGAACGAATTTTTTTTTTAGAACGAATTGTATGCCACGTAATGAAAGCTTACATTTACAAGAATAAAAATTTTTGAATAAGTATACCTGTCGCTCATCATTGTAGAAATGTCGACACCTTAATTTATATGGAAATATAGTATAATCAGATTCTAGTTTTTTTTATTCTATTAAAGATTTCCGAATTTAAAGACATTCCTTTTTGTTTACAAATGGATAGATTAACTAACTGTGTGTATAAATTAAATCTAGATGTGTGTGTATTTTTTAAATATTGCTTGGTTTTCTTTCAAACGTGAATATAACTGGTTTTAACAACTCTAAATGAAGGGTGGTCTCCCTGCTACAAGCGAGATGTGCATCGTCTTCTTACTGTACTACCCTAGGACGTCGTTAAGTAGGTGTCTGACTAGGTAGGTATGACGTCATTAAGTAGGTGTCTGACTAGGTAGGTAGGACGTCGTTAAGTGAGTGTCTGACTAGGTAGGTAGGACGTCATTAGACAATTACTTGACCAGGTAGGTAGGACGTCGTTAAGTAGGTGTCTGACTAGGTAGGTAGGACGTCGTTAAGTGAGTGTCTGACTAGGTAGGTAGGACGTCGTTAAGTGAGTGTCTGACTAGGTAGGCAGGACGTCATTAAACAATTACTTGACCAGGTAGGTAGGACGTCATTAAGTAGGTGTCTGACTAGGTAGGTAGGACGTCGTTAAGTAAGTGTCTGACTAGGTAGGTAGGACGTCGTTAAGTGTCTGACTAGGTAGGTATGACGTCATTAAGTAGGTGTCTGACTAGGTAGGTAGGACGTCGTTAAGTGAGTGTCTGACTAGGTAGATAGGACGTCATTAACAATTACTTGACCAGGTAGGTAGGACGTCATTAAGTGTCTGACTAGGTAGGTAGGACGTCGTTAAGTGTCTGACTAGGTAGATAGGACGTCGTTAAGTGAGTGTCTGACTAGGTAGGTAGGACGTCATTAAACAATTACTTGACCAGGTAGGTAGGACGTCATTAAGTGTCTGACTAGGACGGTAGGACGTCGTTAAGTAGGTGTCTGACTAGGTAGGTAGGACGTCGTTAAGTGTCTGACTAGGTAGGTAGGACGTCGTTAAGTAGGTGTCTGACTAGGTAGGTAGGACGTCGTTAAGTAGGTGTCTGACTAGGTAGGTAGGACGTCGTTAAGTGAGTGTCTGACTAGGTAGGTAGGACGTCGTTAAGTGTCTGACTAGGTAGGTAGGACGTCGTTAAGTAGGTGTCTGACTAGGTAGGTAGGACGTCGTTAAGTGAGTGTCTGACTAGGTAGGTAGGACGTCGTTAAGTAGGTGTCTGACCAGGTAGGTAGGACGTCGTTATGTAGGTGTCTGACTAGGTAGGTAGGACGTCGTTAAGTGTCTGACCAGGTAGGTAGGACGTCGTTAAGTAGGTGTCTGACTAGGTAGGTAGGACGTCTTTAAACAATTACTTGACTAGGTAGGTAGGAGGTCGTTAAGTAGGTGTCTGACTAGGTAGGTAGGACGTCGTTAAGTGAGTGTCTGACTAGGTAGGTAGGACGTCGTTAAGTGTCTGACTAGGTAGGTAGGACGTCGTTAAGTGTCTGACCAGGTAGGTAGGACGTCGTTAAGTAGGTATCTGACTAGGTAGGTAGGACGTCGTAAAGTAGGTGTCTGACTAAGTAGGTAGGACGTCGTTAAGTAGGTGTCTGACTAGGTAGGTAGGACGTCGTTAAGTAGGTGTCTGACTAGGTAGGTAGGGCGTCGTTAAGTAGGTGTCTGACTAGGTAGGTAGGACGTTGTTAAGTAGGTGTCTGACTAGGTAGGTAGGACATCGTTAAGTAGGTGTCTGACTAGATAGGTAGGACGTCGTTAAGTAGGTGTCTGACTAGGTAGGTAGGACGTCGTTAAGTGTCTGACTAGGTAGGTAGGACGTCGTTAAGTGTCTGACTAGGTAGGTAGGACGTCGTTAAGTGTCTGACTAGGTAGGTAGGACGTCGTTAAGTGTCTGACTAGGTATGTAGGACGTCGTTAAGTGTCTGACTAGGTAGGTAGGACGTCGTTAAGCAGGTGTCTGACTAGGTAGGTAGGACGTCGTTAAGTAGGCGTCTGACTAAGTAGGTAGGACGTCGTTAAGTAGGTGTCTGACTAGGTAGGTAGGACGTCGTTAAGTGTCTGACCAGGTAGGTAGGACGTCGTTAAGTGTCTGACCAGGTAGGTAGGACGTCGTTAAGTAAGTGTCTGACTAGGTAGGTAGGACGTCGTTAAGTAGGTGTCTGACTAGGTAGGTAGGACGTCGTTAAGTGAGTGTCTGACTAGGTAGGTAGGACGTCGTTAAGTGTCTGACTAGGTAGGTAGGACGTCGTTAAGTGTCTGACTAGGTAGGTAGGACGTCGTTAAGTGAGTGTCTGACTAGGTAGGTAGGACGTCGTTAAGTGTCTGACTAGGTAGGTAGGACGTCGTTAAGTGTCTGACTAGGTAGGTAGGACGTCGTTAAGTGTCTGACTAGGTATGTAGGACGTCATTAAGTGAGCGTCTGACTAAGTAGGTAGGACGTCGTTAAGTGTCTGACTAGGTAGGTAGGACGTCGTTAAGTAGGTGTCTGACTAGATAGGTAGGACGTCGTTAAGTAGGTGTCTGACTAGGTAGGTAGGGCGTCGTTAAGTAGGTGTCTGACTAGGTAGGTAGGACGTCGTTAAGTAGGTGTCTGACTAGGTAGGTAGGACGTCGTTAAGTAGGCGTCTGACTAAGTAGGTAGGACGTCGTTAAGTAGGTGTCTGACTAGGTAGGTAGGACGTCGTTAAGTAGGCGTCTGACTAAGTAGGTAGGACGTCGTTAAGTAGGTGTCTGACCAGGTAGGTAGGACGTCGTTAAGTAGGTGTCTGACCAGGTAGGTAGGACGTCGTTAAGTGTCTGACTAGGTAGGTAGGGCGTCGTTAAGTGTCTGACTAGGTAGGTAGGACGTCGTTAAGTAGGCGTCTGACTAGGTAGGTAGGACGTCGTTAAGTGTCTGACTAGGTAGGTAGGACGTCGTTAAGTAGGTGTCTGACTAGATAGGTAGGACGTCGTTAAACAATTATTTGAATAGGTAGGTAGGACGTCATTAACCAAGTATTTGACTAGGTAGGTAGGACGTCATTAACCAAGTATTTGACTAGGTAGGTAGGACGTCATTAACCAAGTATTTGACTAGGTATGTAGGACGTCATTAACCAATTATTTGACCAGTTATGTAGTACGTCATTAAGCAAGTACTTGACCAGGTAGGTAGGACGTTATTAACCAAGTATTTGACTAGGTAGGTAGGACGTCATTAACCAAGTATTTGACTAGGTAGGTAGGACGTCATTAACCAAGTATTTGACTAGGTATGTAGGACGTCATTAACCAATTATTTGACCAGTTATGTAGTACGTCATTAAGCAAGTACTTGACCAGGTAGGTAGGACGTTATTAACCAAGTATTTGACTAGGTAGGTAGGAAGTCATTAACCAAGTATTTGACTAGGTAGGTAGGACGTCATTAACCAAGTATTTGACTAGGTAGGTAGGACGTCATTAACCAATTATTTGACCAGTTATGTAGTACGTCATTAAGCAAGTACTTGACCAGGTAGGTAGGACGTCATTAACCAAGTATTTGACTAGGTAGGTAGGACGTCATTAACCAAGTATTTGACTAGGTAGGTAGGACGTCATTAACCAAGTATTTGACTAGGAAGGTAGGACGTCATTAACCAAGTATTTGACTAGGCAGGTAGGACGTCATTAACCAAGTATTTGACTAGGTAGGTAGGACGTCATTAACCAAGTATTTGACTAGGTAGGTAGGAAGTCATTAACCAAGTATTTGACTAGGTAGGTAGGACGTCATTAACCAAGTATTTGACTAGGTAGGTAGGACGTCATTAACCAATTATTTGACCAGTTATGTAGTACGTCATTAAGCAAGTACTTGACCAGGTAGGTAGGACGTCATTAACCAAGTATTTGACTAGGTAGGTAGGACGTCATTAACCAAGTATTTGACTAGGTAGGTAGGACGTCATTAACCAAGTATTTGACTAGGAAGGCAGGACGTCATTAACCAAGTATTTGACTAGGCAGGTAGGACGTCATTAACCAAGTATTTGACTAGGTAGGTAGGACGTCATTAACCAAGTATTTGACTAGGTAGGTAAGACGTCATTAACCAAGTATTTGACTAGGTAGGTAGGACGTCATTAACCAAGTATTTGACCAGGTAGGTAGGACGTCATTAACCAAGTATTTGACTAGGTAGGTAGGACGTCATTAACCAAGTATTTGACTAGGTAGGTAGGACGTCATTAACCAATTATTTGACCAGTTATGTAGTACGTCATTAAGCAAGTACTTGACCAGGTAGGTAGGACGTCATTAACCAAGTATTTGACTAGGTAGGTAGGACGTCATTAACCAAGTATTTGACTAGGTAGGTAGGACGTCATTAACCAAGTATTTGACTAGGTAGGTAGGACGTCATTAACCAAGTATTTGACTAGGTAGGTAGGACGTCATTAACCAAGTATTTGACTAGGTAGGTAGGACGTCATTAATCAAGTATTTGACTAGGCAGGTAGGACGTCATTAACCAAGTATTTGACTAGGTAGGTAGGACGTCATTAACCAAGTATTTGACTAGGTAGGTAAGACGTCATTAACCAAGTATTTGACTAGGTAGGTAGGACGTCATTAACCAAGTATTTGACCAGGTAGGTAGGACGTCATTAACCAAGTATTTGACTAGGTAGGTAGGACGTCGTTACTTTAATGTTTGGCCATGTAGATTATAGATAGGGCGTCGTTAAGCAAGTGCTTGACTAGGTAGCTTATACTTCGTTAATATTGCTCTCAGACTTTTTAAATCAATTTTTTTTTCAGTCAGTTTATGATGTAAAGGATTTTGTTTATTTTGTTCTTCAATTTTTTTATATTCGTGTACGTCTGCGGTGCCCACACTTCAATATCAGCGGGATATCATTTCGCTTGATATTTTTATTTTCAGCACAATGTACAAAATATTAGATGACTATCATCATTTAGCTTGATATTTATCTTTTCAGCACAATGTACAAAATATCAGATGACCAGAGTCCACAAACAATGTTTGACCTGGCCCAGACTATGGACTGGACCAACCCTACAGTGAGAGCCAACTTTCAGCGGACGACAGATGAGGCAGACATCAGAAGCTACTGTTGGATGGACAACAACCCTTCTCTGGTAACACAAAAAAAAATTCCGGTGACCTCGTGTTGAGCGCTGTACAGTGCTGAATTTTCCGGTGACTTCGTGTCGTTGGCTGTACAGTGTCGAACACTGGCTACATTCAGAATTAGGACCCATGAACAACCCCCTGACTAAAATGCTTCTCGTTTCAAACATTTGTTATTAGAATGTGTTAAGAATTTCTGCACTCCTAAATCTAAATTAGAAATGGCCGGAAACAGCCGCAATAGCGGGTAGCGTGTTGTTGATAAACAATTAAAGTTTATCTTAGATCGTTGATAAAATAAAATATAATTTTTATATTAGTTTTTTAAAATATTCAAGCATGGCCAACCTGCCGCCATTTTAACATACTGGCAAGACTCCTTCGATTTAATCACATCAAGTATACATGTTTAAAGATTTTAAATTGATTTTTTCTCAAATTCGATATGATTAATGTTGAATATAGATACAGTGTAAGTTTAACTGTTGAACGATAATAGTGTGTTTCAGCGCTGTAATAACCAAAGAATCCATGTTTTGCAGTTTACCATCAAGGACAGCCCCAAGCCAAACATCACACAAGTCTTCCAGCCTCCACGTCAATGCCAGAACTAGCACCAGAGTTACAATAGCAGACGACACGAGGACCACGTCGGGTTTTTTGTAGTCTACCAGCCGACACAATCTAGGGACCTATGGGAATCTTGTTTCAGTGGAATATACATAGTCCTGTCAAGTTTGGTGGCGAAGATGGCAGATTAGTAGTGTTTCTTTTTAGGCATCTCTTCGGATGGGGGGGAAAGGGGGGGGGGGTTAAGAAATGTATTTTATTTTTATATAGAACATTTTTACGTTTATCAGTCTTCACCCACCCCTGGAAAAAATTAGTCTTACATCTTACATCACACGTTTAAGTAAGGAATCAGTGAGTAGGTGGCGTTGAAGAAAATCGAAACAAACAAAAAATGTTTATTTTCCCAACAGTTAATTTTTTTTTTACAATTTATTAAGGAAATTTGACTTTTTTTCATGATGGCTGTCTTAATGTATAGTTTACGTGTTTGTTTTTCACATTGTATGCATTGAATCAAACTATTAAAACAGTTGTTGGAAAACGCAAGTTTTTGTTTCGCGTGGATTGTTTAATTCCCCCGCCCCTTAACCAATTCCTATCAACTTACAATCAAGAAGAGTGGGGGGGGGGGGGGGTGAGGGCGGGTAAAAACACTTGGGGGGGGGGGGGGCGAAAAAAACTTGTAGGAAAAAATAAATTTATTTTCATCTGAAATATTGATTTAAACACAATCAAAGTTAAGAAAATAAAAGGCTGCCTAAATTTAAGACATACGAAACATATACCTTGCTTGTTACCATAAAATAGATGGGCGTCAGATAGTTTGTTTTATTACAAACCCTTAAAAACGCTTAATGGTGTCACCCCACCCCCCTCAAACTTTCTATTTGCATCCCCCTCAAGTTTTTCTCTATACATTTTGCTATTTTTTGCCTTGGTGTCACCCAACCCCCCTTAATGGTGTCACCCGGTGCGGTCCGCGCCCCCGCCCCCCCCCCCCCTTTCTACGCCTCTGAATAATAATAATAATAATAATAATAATTAAAATAATTCAAATAATTCAAATAATTCAAATAATTCAAATAATTCAAATAATTCAAATAATTCAAATAATTCAAATAATTCAAATAATTCAAATAATTCAAATAATTCAAATAATTCAAATAATTCAAATAATTCAAATAATTCAAACGAGCCGGCCCGCGGCATAACATACGCCGCTATTTAGTTGTTTCTAATTTTCAGTAATTCATAATTTGTGAATTCGACAGTACCAACGCTGACACTGAAAATATTTCTTTAAAACACTATAAGTAGCTCGTTAAGGACCGTAACCCCCCCCCCCCCCCCCTTCCCCCCCCCCCCCCCCTACGTTTAAAATCGTTGGCTCTGCTTGTAAACATTTAGAGTGAACACAGCTCACTAAAACCATGTAGGGGTGGGGAGGTAGGGAGCGCGTTTACAGCTTGTTTTCTAGGCGCGTTTGCAGCTTGTTTTCTAGCGGCTCCCAGAAGAGAATTATATATATAGATAATTAAAATAATTAAAATAATTAAAATAATTTAAATAATTTAAATAATTAAAATAACTAATATAATTAAAATAATTAAAATAATTAAAATAATTAAAATAATTAAAATAATTAAAATAATTAAAATAATTAAAATAATTAAAATAATTAAAATAATTAAAATAATTAAAATAATTAAAATAATTAAAATAATTAAAATAATTAAAATAATTAAAATAATTAAAATAATTAAAATAATTAAAATAATTAAAATAATTAAAATAATTAAAATAATTAAAATAATTAAAATAATTAAAATAATTAAAATAATTAAAATAATTAAAATAATTAAAATAATTAAAATAATTAAAATAATTAAAATAATTAAAATAATTAAAATAATTAAAATAACTAATATAATTAAAATAATTAAAATAATTAAAATAATTAAAATAATTAAAATAATTAAAATAATTAAAATAATTAAAATAATTAAAATAATTAAAATAATTAAAATAATTAAAATAATTAAAATAATTAAAATAATTAAAATAATTAAAATAATTAAAATAATTAAAATAATTAAAACACTTAAAATAATTAAAACACTTAAAATAATTAAAATAATTAAAATAATTAAAATAATTAAAATAATTAAAATAATTAAAATAATTAAAATAACTAATATAATTAAAATAATTAAAATAATTAAAATAATTAAAATAATTAAAATAATTCAAATAATTCAAATAATTCAAATAATTCAAATAATTCAAATAATTCAAATAATTCAAATAATTCAAATAATTCAAATAATTCAAATAATTCAAATAATTCAAATAATTAAAATAATTAAAATAATTAAAATAATTAAAATAATTAAAATAATTAAAATAATTAAAATAATTAAAATAATTAAAATAATTAAAATAATTAAAATAATTAAAATAATTAAAATAATTAAAATAATTAAAATAATTAAAATAATTAAAATAATTAAAATAATTAAAATAATTAAAATAATTAAAATAATTAAAATAATTAAAATAATTAAAATAATTAAAATAATTAAAATAATTAAAATAATTAAAATAATTAAAATAATTAAAATAATTAAAATAATTAAAATAATTAAAATAATTAAAATAATTAAAATAATTAAAATAATTAAAATAATTAAAATAATTAAAATAATTAAAATAATTAAAATAATTAAAATAATTAAAATAATTAAAATAATTAAAATAATTAAAATAATTAAAATAATTAAAATAATTAAAATAATTAAAATAATTAAAATAATTAAAATAATTAAAATAATTAAAATAATTAAAATAATTAAAATAATTAAAATAATTAAAATAATTAAAATAATTAAAATAATTAAAATAATTAAAATAAATAAAATAATTAAAATAATTAAAATAATTAAAATAATTAAAATAATTAAAATAATTAAAATAATTAAAATAATTAAAATAATTAAAATAATTAAAATAATTAAAATAATTAAAATAATTAAAATAATTAAAATAATTAAAATAATTAAAATAATTAAAATAATTAAAATAATTAAAATAATTAAAATAATTAAAATAATTAAAATAATTAAAATAATTAAAATAATTAAAATAATTAAAATATTTAAAATAATTAAAATAATTAAAATAATTAAAATAATAAAAATAATAAAAATAATTAATATAATTAAAATAATTAAAATAATTAAAATAATTAAAATAATTAAAATAATTAAAATAATTAAAATAATTAAAATAATTAAAATATTTAAAACACTTAAAATAATTAAAATAATTAAAATAATTAAAATAATTAAAATAATTAAAATAATTAAAATAATTTAAATAATTTAAATAATTAAAATAACTAATATAATTAAAATAATTAAAATAATTAAAATAATTAAAATAATTAAAATAATTAAAATAATTAAAATAATTAAAATAATTAAAATAATTAAGATAATTAAAATAATTAAAATAATTAAAATAATTAAAATAATTAAAATAATTAAAATAATTAAAATAAATAAAATAATTAAAATAATTAAAATAATTAAAACACTTAAAACACTTAAAATAATTAAAATAATTAAAATAATTAAAATAATTAAAATAATTAAAATAATTAAAATAATTAAAATAACTAATATAATTAAAATAATTAAAATAATTAAAATAATTAAAATAATTAAAATAATTAAAATAATTAAAATAATTAAAATAATTAAAATAATTAAAATAATTAAAATAATTAAAATAATTCAAATAATTCAAATAATTAAAATAATTAAAATAATTCAAATAATTCAAATAATTCAAATAATTCAAATAATTCAAATAATTCAAATAATTCAAATAATTAAAATAATTAAAATAATTAAAATAATTAAAATAATTAAAATAATTAAAATAATTAAAATAATTAAAATAATTAAAATAATTAAAATAATTAAAATAATTAAAATAATTAAAATAATTAAAATAATTAAAATAATTAAAATAATTAAAATAATTAAAATAATTCAAATAATTAAAATAATTAAAATAATTAAAATAATTAAAATAATTAAAATAATTAAAATAATTCAAATAATTAAAATAATTAAAATAATTCAAATAATTAAAATAATTAAAATAATTAAAATAATTAAAATAATTAAAATAATTAAAATAATTAAAATAATTAAAATAATTAAAATAATTAAAATAATTAAAATAATTAAAATAATTAAAATAATTAAAATAATTAAAATAATTAAAATAATTAAAATAATTAAAATAATTAAAATAATTAAAATAATTAAAATAATAATAATCATAGTAATAATAATGATAATAATAATAATGATAATAATAATAATGATAATAATAATAAGAATAATAATAATAATAATAATAATAATAGTAATAATAATAATAACAATAATAATAATAACGAGCCGACCCGCTGCGTATCATATAATTTGTGAATTCGACAGTACCAATGCTGCCACTGAAAATATTTGCTTAAAAACACTAAACCCCCCCCCCCCCCCCACGTGAAAGCAGCCTCCTCTTAGTTACCTCCTCTAAGCTTACAATCGTTTCAAACTAAATTATCTGCCCCTAATAGCCGTCACCAAACCCGTAAAATGTAAACAGCGTGACCACAGATCACCAGACAATGTGGGGGTGGGGTGGGGGTGGTAGTGATAGTGATAGAGAGAAAGAGAGGAAACTGCAAGGAGGCGCTAGCAGCTTGTTTTCTAACGGCTCCCAGAAGAGAATTATATATATAGATAATAATAATAATAACAGTGGCGTAGCGAGGTCGGGTGTCCACCCGGTGCGGCACTTAATGGTGTCACCCCCCCCCCCCCTTCCCGGGGACAAAACTTGCAAATTTACGATTTGCACCCCTCCCCCTCAAACTTTCTATTTGCATCCCCCTCAAGTTTTTCTCTATACATTTTGCTATTTTTTGCCTTGGTGTCACCCCCCCCCCTATATGGTGTCACCCGGTGCGGTCCGAGCCCCCCCCATCTCTCTACGCCTCTGAATAATAATAATAATTAATATAATTAAAATAATTAAAATAATTAAAATAATTAAAATAATTAAAATAATTAAAATAATTAAAATAATTAAAATAATTAAAATAATTAAAATAATTAAAATAATTAAAATAATTAAAATAATTAAAA